CCAAAACTACCTCAAAGGGTACATCTACATCTTTTATTTACCATTAAAAGCAGGCCTAAGCCCTTAGGCCCAGGGATGCAGAAAAAACTGTCAGCCATACTGCATCCCAGGGCAAGCAGGTTATGTCCATATTTGGCCTAAGTCTCCTCAGATCTGTGTGGTAACCTTAGGTATAATTGTTATATTTATTTCAGTCTTCTGTTAAAACACTGCCTGGGTAGTTCTTTTGTGGCATGTTGCTGCATGCATTTTTATGGCAGGCAAATGTTACTGGCCTTGGGATGTCCATCAGATGGAGCTGCCTGGGTGAACGCACACTTACAGTTGTTGGAAAACTCTACAGGGCGTCGAGATCCTGGTGAAGTCTCATTCTTGCTGCCTATAGACTGTGGTTCATGAACTGAATGTTATTGTAGAACTGCACTCACTTTTATCTGTAGGAGAACTAGCAAGTTTACTCTGAAATGAAAGCCAGGGAATGAACTATCACACCTGGAGTGGGGATGATGGAGAGCCAGGTTGCAGGAGCCAAGTTATTTGCTGGTGCAGACATACCCAATAGTATTTTACAGCTGACATTTTACCAATACTGAATCAAGTGGAATCATTATCCTCAGCATCTTAAATATAACACTACTATTAACATGTCAGAATGTGATTTGCCTTGACTTTCATTGTTGACTTTCATTTAATTTCTTTTCCACTGTAACCTTCTGGACCTTTCCCCTTGCATTTGTGTTTACTCAGCTATTCACAATCTAGTATTGGTGAATGTGATTTCTCCCTCCAAAGTACAGCACTTGACAAATATCTTATTGAATTTTATCTTGTTGATTTCAGACCATATCTCAAGCTTATTACAGTAATTTTGAATTGCAGTCTTGGTCTCTAAAGCATTTGTATGCCCTGTGCTGTTAACTATTATAATTAATGGATTCCATACATAATTTTGTCATCTAAATCACTAATGAAAATGTACTTAAAATTCTTGAATGTAGAATATAATTCTGTAGCTTATTCATGTGCTTGTATTTGTCCTAATTTTCCCTTAACCTCCTGTCTGACAATCCCCTATGGGCACCTCAGTAGTTGTATCAGCATTTAATACTTGCACTCATATCTAATCTGGTTCACAGAATTATATTTAGGCTATCAAACTCTAACAACTCTGATTGCTTATGTCCCCAAAGAGGGAGCACTCTGTCACTTACTGAGCTCTGCATTAATGTGAGTTAGCTGTTCTGTCACTAATTTTGCATTTCAATTTAGAAATAGGTGACCGAAGGTGGGCTAATGTAATATTTTTCTCATGTTCTATTCACAAGCATTATGCATTTAGTTCACTGTATTTGTAGAAATCCAAGGGTATATAGGAAACTGCCTCTGAATTTTCTACTGTATCAAGTGACCTATTTTTCACCTTAGTCCGTTCGAACATAGCAGATACATTTACTATCAGTTACTGAGGCAGGCAATGTGGTATTGTTTTGCCTAGATCAGCACACTTTAATGGCTGTGCAGTCTATTAAATATCTCTTACAGAGTCTGAATTTAATAAATTATTTCTAATTGACTAGTTGTCAGTGGCAACATTCTAGAAAACTCAGTTACATGGGATTTTTCATTGATTTTCCCCATATTAGAAAATGAAATGTCAGATACCATTAATTGCATTTTCTCAATAAGAGGCATACTGCAAAAGTAGCTGCTAAGTGAAAGCACTTCCAGCCTAATGTGCAATAGGAGTATTCTTTTGAAATTAATCCAATATATAAACATTTATTACAGTTATGTGCCTCTGTGGGCCAAACTGATGTGAATGTAATTACGATCTATAATATGGAACCGTTTTGCAGGCTTCTAGGAGAAAAATGTATTCAAGTATATTCTGCAGTCATTTATCCTTATACAGTACACTATCTGCTTCCAGCAATATAGAAGGTGGTTATCTCATGGCTTCCAGTAGTTCTTACCTACGACTGCATCATCCCTGACATCAGTTTGCACTTACAGTTGTCCATCACTCAGAGACAGAACTGCTAACTTGCATTGGATGTGCTCATGCTTAGCCAGGCTATATGTCATTAGTAACATGATCCAGAACAAAGTTTATGAGATTGTGACACACATATTCATTAACACTGGTTCCCAGTTCAAAATACATTGGTGCATCTTTCTTGCTTTCCTATATCTCCACTGGTGTAGTCAGGTGTTCAAGCTCACATGTTTTCAACAGATGTAATTCTACAGATTTTATTTCACATGGTCACATTTATTACGCCAGAATTAACCATTGGTCTCTATAGTCCGAGGGAGATGATATTAGCAGTCTGGATATGAAAATTCATTTGGCTATGCACAATTTACTATAGTGCTAGAAGTTCTTATGCCTTTGTAGAGAAAGAAAAATCCATGACCTCTCTAAAGTATGTGATGTAGCATTCAATTTCCCTGCATCTGATCGATAAGCAAGCAGGAAATTATATCTTTTGCCATGGTAGACAAGCATAATTAAGCAATAAGCCAATGGAGGTAGATGTGATTATCTTAGGATGCACCTGGGAGCTGCCTTGTTGCTATTTTAAAACATCTTTATGCTAAGGGAACTGTATTAATTTCTGCTGAGAAAGACAAAGTTGGCAGTTTGGAATACTCAAAAGCAGCAGTTTCAGTTGTGCTTCACAGAGTAATGTGGTGTGTTCACCCTGAACAATTAAGCTTCTCCTTCAGCAGAAGCAAAGATGGAGCAGGCTGTAAACATTTAATTGACAGTTCAGACAGTTCAGAAAAAAAACCCGAACAAAACAACAACAAAAAACAATTATGCTTTGGCTGGCTGCCACTGAGTGCAAAACTTACATTTTTACAAGTTTACAATAAAAATATGTTGACCCCAACACTTGACTTCCAGGGAAGACATCTCTGCATAATTAATCTTATTGCATACACATTCTAATTTATGCATTTTAATTATACCAAAGATCCAGTGAATAATTAATGCTAGCAAAACAATGGTTCTGAAGCATAAGCTGAAAAGTATAATGTTTTAATGGGCTTTATGGATTTAAGTAACTAATGAAAGCTATTTAACTATTTGATTGTGAGAATTTTTCCCCCAATACAAGCAAGTATTTATTACCATTATTGAGCAGCCTCTCAAGTAGAGACGTGTTATCTCAGGCTACCTGTTTACACAGTTGCCCATCTGAATATATACCACTGTACACTAACCCACCTGAACCATATACATTCAGGAAGAGATATATTTGGATGTTTGCCCTGTGGGAGGGACTAACGTATCACTGGTATAATCCATAAGACGTAAAATCAAAATTCCAGATGCAAAAATCCACTTTGACCTCCTGTCTTCAAGCAGGTCAGGTCATGCAAGTTTCATGGGGAGATTTCAAATTTAATATAAATAAATACAATATAGTATTCCTCATTCCTGAGTTGAAAAATGAAGAATTAAGGATGTAGGGCAAGTTAGCAATTTAGAGCCTTGCAGTGATAATTTGAGAGAGAGAGCACCTCTGGAGACCGAGTTTTTTGAAACCAGTTGGCAGTGAGTGATTTACTTACAGAGGAAGCTTAGGATACTGCCTTAGACTGTACACCTAGCTTCTAGACAGTCTAGTAGAGGTGAAGTTAATTTCACTAGCAACAGCAGCCACTAAAATACTGTGTGAGAAAGGCCTACTGTCACCAACCTGATGGACCTAAAGATCAGGGCAGAGCAGAGAGTTGTCTGAAGCTCAGAGTGTCATGTTGGCAACTACCACACCTACTGCTTGGTCACGTCTCAGCTCTGAAACATATGACACTCCTTAAGAAAGTCCTTCCACCCCTGAAAGGGTCAAAATGTGCATTTGTGTTCATGTGCAGTGCCCAAAGTCTTGCCTCTGCCCTGGCATGATCCCTGGAGTAATGCTGGGCAGTGTGATGTGCAAGGAACAAAGTGTCCCAGATGTGCAGTATGTCTGGGTTAGGCATACTCTGTGTCACAGAAAGGGTGGTGAAAGCACATAGAGAGTAGACAGCACTGACTGCATAGCATGGCAAGCCTGATGGCAGAAGGTACTCATCTCTTTAGGTGAGTAAGATGAAACTGCAAATGAAGAATTAGTTCAATCCCTGGCAATATATTGCATACACTCAAGTAATACCAACGTGTCGATACAAATAGAAAAGGAATGGCTTTTACTAACTTTTTGTTTTGTTTTGTTTTGTTTGTGTTTTCCATGTCAGAAGTTTGCCATTTAAACTCTAATGTAAAATGTTTAAGAAAGTATCATTATAATAGCAATATAATTAAGGGCTTGTGAAAGAAATTAGTTTGGAAAACGCTGCTGCCAATTTTGAATAACATACCCCTTGTTTAAATGCATTATTTGGATCTCAGCAAATTTGCCTCCTATGTTTTAAGTTTTCTCTTTTACCTAATAGTATATATTGGAATCAAAGTACCTGACTCTCCAGAGCAGCCATCGGAATCATCAGGGAGACATGGAGGGGGATTATATAAAACTAATTTTTTTTTTTTTCCCCAGCTTTCAGCTGCATTTGTCTGAGCCTGGACATGAGGTTGTGCTCTTGTCAGTGGTTGTGGTCTGTCTCAGGAGGGCGACAAGTTGCATTCAGTTTGGGTGGGCTGTATTGTGTGTTCCCTCTCTCAGACATGGGGAAGGGACAGGGTGGCACAGAAAAGGCTCCTGCTGAGGGAAATCTCAGTCAGTCATAGCCAGCTGCTGCCTGGCCCTGCTGAATATTTCAAAGAGGGTAGAAAGGAGAACTTAAAGCCTCTTTACCATGTGTTTTGATACTAGGATGGAGCCTGGTGATCTAGCACTCTTAGTTACTCTGGTGTTTTTAATGTGAATGACAAAAATAGCTGCTGAAGCACAAGCTCATGATCTGTAGCAAAGTGTCTTTCTTTGCTTCTGCCTTTGCAGGACTATGCTGAGAAGGAGAAAGCTGCAGCCAAGGCCCTGGAGGATGTGAAGGCTAACTTCTACTGTGAACTATGTGACAAGCAGTACCACAAACACCAAGAGTTTGACAACCACATCAATTCTTATGACCATGCTCACAAGCAGGTAAACCTGACAAATGCCCATGCATGTTACAGTAGTCCATCTTCCTTCTTCATTGATTATAGGAGGTTTCCAAATTCACTCAAGCAGAAGACAATTTAACATTTTATGTTTTCCACTTCAGCACACTATTTTTCATTAAAATAAAATGTAAAATATTCATTGTTTTGATCTTCACCACAATTTATTTTAAGCCCCTGACTGAATGGTCAATGTCTATGGTTGCTCTTATATATATATGTATATGTGCTCATATATAGGTGCTCAATACCAATATTCATACTTAATTTGATATATTTAAATGTGGAAATACTTATAAACTAGAGTGAGGGGGAAGGTCCCTCTTTTGCATGCAGAAGGCATATGACCATGCTGTTTCAAGCTGATCATGCTCTTTCAGAGGCAGAAAAACAGCTACTTGTTTCTTTAAAAAAGCAGATGATTCTGAATTTGAAATCTGTGTCTCATAAATAATATTTCAAAGGGTGGAATACATTTTGCCTTGCATGCAGCACATAATATAAAATAACAGCTGCTTTTGAATGACAAGATATTTGATTTTTGGGAAAATATAATACATGTTAATTTTTTGTCATTAGGTTTGTACTGCCTTTATCAGATCCATAAGGGGTAGTTATATCCTAGTAGTAGTTATATCCTATCCATATATATCTATTATCCTTCTGTGTCTACTTTCTGCATCCTAGTTTTCCTCCAGTTTTAGCAAACTCCATATTCCAGTTGGCATTAAGGAAAGAAAATACAATTAATTCACATAAACATTCCAAAATTTTAATAGAATGTATTGCATTAAGTTCTCATGTATTGTGTGCATTCAAGTTGCCAGGGAATTAGTGTCTTCTGGTTGATCACAGTTCTGGGTGAATGAGGGTCAGGAGCTACCTTGCAAATATATGAATCATTTAGAAATTTATTTTCTCAGAGGACTGAAAATATTAAGTGTTGATAAAAACAAACAGCACTAAAGACAAAACTTCCCAGTATCACTGCAAGCAATCCTGATGTCTTTTGCAGTATTATAGAGGACAGAAATCAACCTGGAATTTTCTCTGTGCGTCTATCACAGCACTGCATTAAAAAACTGCCTAGCTTCTGCCTACCTGAACCATCCTGCTGA